AGGCGACAGAGTGTAACAAATCAAAAGATGGACTGCAGCGTCTTCATAATAACGACTAAACAAAAACTGCGGTTGTCGACCCGCTTGCCAAGCGTGGTAACTATGGCAAATATCCCCCTATGTGGCAGTTTTTGGTTGAGGCTTGTGTTTAGCTGTGGACTTTAATAGGCTTTAATGGTTACGGTAAATTTTATTTTATTGAGAAGGTGAATTTAACAGTTTGTGTTAATATTTTGGCCAAATTGTCTAATTTTCCAACCGACCTTAAAAAGGAGGAGATACTTAATTCGACTGTATGCCTTTTTATGTGTGTTACCTCAGAACTTTTTTCTAGCTACCGATTTCGATGATTCTTTTATTTGAAAGCTGGTACTTCTCGTATGGTCCCATATAAATTTGATCAAGATCTAACAAGTAGTATGTAGTTATCTTTAGTGATTCATATTGAAATCGTTTGTACAAAATTTTTAATTTTACCACTTGTTTACATACGGATGACCTAAGGATTGAACCCTCATCAATGAAGGGTCGGGAATGACTTCATCGGTTTGAGTGTTCTTTTCCTGAAGAAATAAAAGCTTGATTCAGTGTTATCTACTGTTTTTTTTTTCTTTAGCAATTTCAAAGTTGTGTGACCGTGGAAGAAAAAGGGTAGATCTATAGCCGGAAAAGGTAGTCTGCCCGAGGAGCAGCCAACGATCCATGTGATAATTCGGAGTTATTCTAGTATAATATTATATAGTTTGGTTAGACGACGTAACTATTATCTTAGCGCTGCAGTGAAATTTAGTTCTAACTCTTACTTACTAAAATGAAGCAAACTTTTGGTTCGGGGTGTCTGTTCTATATGCTATAATATAGTTCGATGAATAAAAGATATTACGAAGTATGAAATTTAAATCTACCTTTCGTCTCTTTATCAGGCTTGTTATCCTTTCTTAACTACTTTAAGAAAATTTATTTACACCGCTTACTTAAATTACTTTTAATCAGTAAAGTTTCTGTACAAATAAAATAGGATCCTAAATTTAATCAGTAAAATTTAGGATCCTATTTTATTTGTATAAACAAAAAGTGCTAAAAATGAACAGTGCCAAGGCATGCACTCCGCTCCGCATCTGCCACGGCAGCCGGGCATAAATCCTACAAATTACTCCTGTTTGAATTTCGATGCCTGTTCTGTATCTTGTTTCTGGTAATCTATTTTCGGTTTGCAATCGTTGCTGTTATGTGGGGTCAGCTCTAATAATTGTTCTACATATATGTACAATACAACAACAATATAATTAATAAGAATTTTTTTAACCAGTAATAGATTATTTCAATTTCTTGTAGATTTTTTTGAAGATTGAATGATGATGAAGCGACTCTACCTCTCTGCTTTACTATTTTTATCTTACATTACCAAATTTTGATCAAGAACGTTTTTTTATATTTGAATTAATTTATCTATTAATGATGATGGTGATGATGATGACGACGATCGATGACGAAATGAACTCATTCTAGCGGCACTAATTTTAGTACACAAAAACCTAAGGATGTTACCATACCAATCGAACGATCTTCGATAGATGCCATTGATCGACGTCGGTCGATGTCGATCGATTGGTGTGGTAGCTTTAGCTGACCGATGGATACTGGTCAGTAAAACTTTGTTCAATTATGGATCGACGTCGATCGACAATTAATCGATGTAGTTGTGAGCTCATCATCAGTATATTTTAAAAAGCAGTCGGTGGAGCGAGGTTGGTTTTAGAATAATCAAGCAGCTCAATCGACGTCGAACAATCCATTTTACCATCGAACGATAATCGATTGATATGGTAGAAATTATCGATCGACGTCGACTACTCCATTCCACTATCGATCAATGGCATAGATCGACAATCGATCGATTAGTGTGGTAAAACCCTTAAGCTTAGCCGGCTAGTTACTTAAGCTTTTCAACCGATTTATTAAATCGTTCGAAAAGACGAATAGTTTATATATTTGTTAATGTTTACCACGCCTTTTAAGTGGCTCAAGGTTCATAGCTGTATTCACCTTAATTTACCAAAGTTAGTAAAGTTACAGCCTACATACGTCCCACTGCTGGGCACAGGTCTCCCCTCATTTCTGAGAGGGTTTTAGGGCAAGGAAATGTCCGCCGCGCTGCCGCAATGCGTGTTGGCGAACTTCACATGTCTTCGAAAATATATTTTTTTCTTATTCCTCAGACAGGAAGTTTTCGTCACGATGTTTTCCCTCACCGCTGAGCACGTGGTAAATCAGCACATAAAATTGCAATTAACGATTTCATTGGTGCCGGCGGGGATCGAACCCGGGTTAATCGCGTTCTGTTTTTTTTTTTATAGGATAGGGTGACAAACGAGCACACAGTCCACCTGATGATAAGTGGTTGCTGTGGCCCATAGACATCTACATCTATATTCGATTACGAATCAAAATGCAGATGCGTTGTCACCCGTGAGGACTCAGATGGAATGCCTCGTATCCAGTAAAAAGGGTCTCCGGTTCTCTACACTCACCATACGAAACACAGCAGCATTAAGCTACTATTTGACGCTGGTATTCTGTGAGAGCGTGGTCCCTCCCCGGTCGAGCCGACCCATTCGTGCTACAACTATATTACTAATATAACTGCAGCATGGCTCTACCACGTATAAAATGTTATATTTACAGCGAGCGTTAAACATCTGAACTACCACGGCTCCAATTTACTAACAACAAGCTATATGCACTAGGTAGCCACGAATAAATCGAACACACCTAAGTAACCACTACTTGGTTGGTTTTAGTTGTTGTTTATTAAATACAATAAATAATTAAGGTAATTTCCTGAAATTCTTAAATATTCCTATCATTTTTATTTGCTAGTATATTTTTAACGGATAAGTTAGAAGGCTTAACATGAAAAAATATAACATTGTTTACGCTCAAAACTAAATCAAAGTTTAGCCATGTAATCTTATATTTATTATTTATACTAACATAAAATAACATATTTACGCAGAAGAGCCATGCTGCAGCTATAACGCTGATGTGTTTCGTTTGGTGATTGTAGAGAACCGGAGACCCTTTTTACTGGAAACGGGGCATATCCATCTTATTCCTCACGGGTGACCACGCATCTGCATTTTGATTGTTATGAGGATATATGTGGTCTATGGGCCACAGCAAACACTTACTATCAGGTGGAATGTGTGCTCGTTTGTCATCCTTATACTATTTAAAAAAAATAAACACGTGTGCAAGCAAATTTTCATAGCCTTTTCTGACTTTGAGTGGTAAATAGTTTGTAGATAATAGATGTAGAAAGCAAATAGCTCATCGCGCTGCTCTAATGCGTGTTAGCGGACTTTAGTCTTTAAAATATTTTTATTCTTTATACATGCAGGTTTCTTCTGGAAATTTTTATTCATTTAAAAATTGCAATTAAAATTTCATTGGTGCCGCCGGGGATCTTACCCCTGTTGCTCGCGTACGGAAATTTATGGTGAGCTTTTAGCCCTTGAGTCATTGCGACTCGTAGGAATTTTAATACTAACCAAAGTGGTGTTACTAAAACCACCGTCTACTTTGTGCTATATAAAGGTGGTAATTTTTTTGTAATATAATCGCGAAAGTAACACGAAGCTAATAAAAGAACAAAAACACTTCAAGGTACTTATTACGCAGTTGCACAGAGGAATGCATTTGACAAACAAAAACATCGCGTATCGTTAAAACAATCAGAGCGCACAACGTCAGCTATCTTACTGATATAAGTTTTATAGAACCAGCCGACGGCCTATTGACACAGTACCACTTATCAAACGGTAGGTATCCAAGACAACTGATAAGATACTACTCGCTTTAAACCTCGAGGCGCCGTAACAAAGAACATTTCTCTTATTACAGACAGGTGCAATAAACGACAGGAAGCGTTTGGTTTGAAAAGGATCTTGCGGTCTAACCCAATTATCATATCCCGTACTTCATACATAGCTTCAAGGCATTGCAAGTGTCCAACTTGTCTAGTCGAGAAAGAGAATAATATCGTAAACTTCATTATAAAATGAAAAGAAGACTTACGAGTTTTAGACAAATCTTTTATCAAAATCAAATTAATTTTACCACAACGAAAGAAAAATAATATCATAATTTAATACATTAAAACTCTTTTAAGAACTAAAATAAAAATGGAGAATATGTAGAATGTGCATAGGTGTAAATTATTTATCGACGTAATAAATACTAATGGTAATGAGTTTAAAACATTATTAAGTAAATGCAAATAAAACACAAAAATATATTGGTCTAAGGTAATAAAGGTCTATCATATAGTGAATAGCTCGTAAGCTTTCATAACAATCAGTTTTAAAAAGATAGGTACCTTGATAACTTTGAGTATTAATTTTGCATTTGTAGTTAAGTATACAGTTGTGTGTTTATCTTGCGCCCCCCTGATGTTGACAGAATTTTTGTTTAGGAATTAAAGCGCATGGGCTTTCCAGTTGGTTGAATACTCAAAGCTTGATAATAATAAACTATGCGTACCAAACACGTAGGTAGGTAGTTTAAGTATAAAAATAACAAAATTACCAAAAGTCTCCAGTAAATTAAACGTGAAAATTATTTGTACCAAGTTTACAATTCATTCACATTTCATTCAAATTTCCTTCCTTATTAAATTTTTATTGTAAAAATTAATTTCAGCTAATAAAGAATATCCTCTAAACTATCACTATCTATTAAACGTCATACAGAAAGAGTTCTATTAAATTACATGCCCAAATTACGACGATTACATGGCTATTAAATAATTAATGAGATTAGGATATTTGAAATAAATCAAAGAACTTTTTCTAAAGCTATTAAAGTAATTGATTTCGGCATCTTGTCCGTAGCAACAAACAATTTAGAAGTAAAACTATTTATGGTGTCAGGTCCATTTTGTAATAAAGTTAACAATAACCACATATATTTTTTAATTATTATTGACCAGCAAAACTTACCAGATTTACCACAGCGTGCGCTACCAAGCACTACAACTCTTATTCGATTAACTGTCATCTTCATGGGTCCTTTATCACTACACAGTCAGTAAAAATGTCAATTGAGCATTTAAAATACCTTGACAATTTGTGTATAAATGTTGCTCGTAAATTAAATTTGATGGCGCCAAAACTATCTGATAAAAGATGGTGGACACGCGCGCACAACGCACATGCTAGCGAGCGACTGCAGTGTCAAACAAAATTGGCGCAAGGCGCAAAACACTCAAGTCGTCTAATGGAGTGAGAAATATTTGAATTTCAATCCCATCCAGATTTTGTTGAGAGGTTACGATGTATGTATAGGCATCATCAATTTTTTTGCCATCAATCAAACAGCATAACCGGTAAAAAGTAATTTACAGTCGCTCAATGATAACAGGAACATACGAAAGTAGTTGATTGACAACTTTCCAGCAAAAAAAAAATATAAGTTTACGTGTATCTGCATACAAAATGTGAAAATCAGCAAATACCCTTACTGTACCTACGTCAATTTGTTTGTTGAAGTGAAGTGACTCTATCTTCTTCAATAACAATTTTTTTATATACTTAAATCATAAATATTTTTAATTAACATAATACACAAGTTAAAGGAAAATAGGATTTTACAGAATTATATAGTATAAAACGCTTAATTTAAGTAAAAAATACTTGCTAAATCGCCGCCGTCTGTTGGTAGTGTGCCCAGAAGACTGGCTGAATTGCCTCGCTGTATTGCGAGGCTGATCCGCTGACCAAAATATCTTCTAGCTTTTGGGTCACCTGAGACATTGACAAGGCGTGATGAGATATCCCTGTACAAACGTCTTGCATCAGGACCCCACGGCCCCAGTGTTTCTACACCAAACGGCACAAACATGTATCCCTCTCCGAGGGGTACATATTTGCGCCGCTTGTTAGACTCGGCAACAGCAGCAGCAGCGCCTGCCTTCTGTGCAGTCGCCGCAAGATGTGATGGCGCTAATGTGTCAACACATGTTGCATCCCATACTAAGGAGCGCCCATTCTTCCATGGAATGAGCGTCATTCCATAGGCCTCTTGCCATCGTCCCGTAATATATCGTTTGGCTCTAAAATTGCAGGTACATTTGCACTGGTTAAGGCTCTTCGAATGACGTCATTAATGGTTGCATGGCGAGATATGCGACCAGCACTTCGCTGGCATGCTAGGCCGTGGTGGCCAAGAATGTCGACCTCTTTACCACAGCGGCAGCGATGGAGCTCATTGGTTTTAAACCCAATCTCAGGCTGATAGAAAGTGAGAAAGTAGTACTGTCCAAGAGTGTACCCATATTCGTTGAGGGCAGCGCATTCAACCAATAGCCCGACTCCTTCTCCACAGATGCTAAAAGACGGACTCGCTCTGTAGGGTTCGCACAGTTTTCTAATAGGTTTTTTTGAACCCGGATACAGAGTGGCTCATCCCAATGCCTCTGCGAAGCTGGGTTTGTCGGAAAAATTTGGTCCGGCCCGGTCTTACTGATCCAGGCTTCCTTGACCTCAGCCAAGCACGAGTCCTCTACATCACCGAGTGATGGGTTAATAACTGTTCCAATGAGGTCTGACGTGCTATGAATTGAAGACAAGAAAGCCGGAAGTGCTACGCTGGAAACTCTTCTGATGCCTAGACCACCAAGTCTAATCGGAAGAGTGGCCTGAAACCAGGAATTTTCATTTAATGGACAATTTAGAATTTCTATCATAGTTTTCCTTATAATATCATCGAAGCGATTTAAAAATGGGACGTGCGTCCAAAGAGTTGAACACCGCAGCACGTACGTAAAATCTGGCACAAAAAGACAGTATTTCAGTATGGCATATGCCATGTGTGGGCTAATTTCTTTTAGACGACTGGATGACTCCTCAAATTTTAAAATCTGTTCACTCACAAAGCATTGAAAGGAGTCATACAGAATAGGATCACCTATAAGGCGAAGCAATTTGCTGTTAATTATTTTTATATTTGGGGCTAGGGAGTTAAATTTGCCAACAATTTGATATTTTTCGGAGGTGGGTAAATTCTCATTAACAAAAAGTTCGCATTTTAAAAAATTCAATTTGAGGCCAATAGAACTGAAAGCAGCAATAAGACTGGTTAAATCGTCAAGCACTAAGTTCGCTTCGCCTCCCAGTGTTCCATCATCTAAATACCAGACATTGAATTTTGATTTGAGATCAGAAATAAATGGATGAATTGCCAGACTAAAAATTGCCGGACCAAGCGGGTCACCCTGCTGGCAACCAACAGCGGATAAAATTTGGTGTTTTTTGTACATGAGTGAACATGGTGAACTGTAACATTGCCAAAGGTAATGGTATATGGATGGAATATTTTGTTTTACCTGTGTCAGCAGAGCTCCTCGTTCTATTGAGTTAAACGCATTTTCAACGTCCACCTTCAGCAGCACCTCACCGCCGCCTTGTTTCAGAAAGGTGCGCGCCGCATGAACAGCCCCTTCACATCCGCCTTTTTATCCCGAAACCTAGCTGCACAGGCTGGAATATGACCGCGAGGTCTGGCTGGATATGTTTGCAGCAAACCTTTGAAACAATGCGGCGGATTGTGTTACCAACTGCTATGGGCCGAATAGTTGCATCCTTTTTTTTAAGGGCGCACAGGTTTGGCCCATAAAGTACGAGTATCTGCGTTATGTTTGGGTAAACTTTTCCGGAAAGCATTAAATTTACAAGCTGCGTCAAGACATTTAGATGGTCTCGACCAGTGTTTCCCCCTAGTACCTGATAGAAGATCTTTTAAATGTTGAGGTGAAAGACCATCAAGACCACTGGCCGATCCATTACTAAAGGAATCGATCGCAGCCTGTACCTCCTCAGCAGTGGCTTCCGGTGTACGCTCAGAGGGGTCAGGAGCATCCGGTAACTTTAAGGGAGCCGATGGAAGTGGATGTTTAGCCCTCAGGGAAAACAAAGTCTCCGGAGTATCAGGGGCCACCGCATCACTCTAGAAAAGGAGGCGAGCTGCACCTCTCAAATCGCCATCGTTCAACTTTGATTCAGTTTTTTTACAATATTGTAGCTAATTTTATTTATAAATTCATTCCTTGTGTTACTATTGTCGACCGAGTTTACTGAGCTAAAGCAATTATCTTTTATTCTTTGCGTGAGAGAGATGCCTTTACCTTCACCATCCTTAGCAACGTGCAGTGTACGATATGAAAAAGTGAGTAATTTTTTCCAACTTTCTGAATCATTTTTATTTACTATGACTTTGATGCATGACGACAATGAGAGGGCTACACTATTTCTTGCACCTCTTGGTATTCTTTTTATGACTGGACAATTGAATTTTAAATGGCTTAATTTTAAGGAAATGTTTTCGTTCGATGTGCAATCTATTTGTGGGGGGTAATCTTGGACTTGACTCTTCTATTTTCTTCTTTAATATATTTTCAGCCGCCAGTGAAAAATGCGAGATCTTATTTTACTCTAACGTACTCGTCAAGATAAGTATATATCAAAAACAGTTCTTGGTTTGCTTAAAATAAGTGTAATAGCTAACCTCTATTGAGGTTTAATCAAATAAGGTTAAATGTGCGTCAGTGACATATTCAGTTATACGCATACACTAATCTGACGTTAACATGATTTATGTATCAAAGCAAAAAAGTATTGGGACGATTTTGTCAAAGTTCTATCAGTATTAATATTACGGCTATTAGAACAGCCTTATCTATTCGTAACAAGATAATTTTTAAATATTGATCTATATATCAATGCAGACTTTGACTAATAAAACTGAAATAAGGTTAAAATATATTACTTATTAAAATTAAATATTCGGTTTGATATTAATGGCTTACTATACTAAAAGTAAATATCTATATTCTATCTATATATTCTCTCTATCTCTATATATCTTAATATATATAAATTACGTGTCACGTTGTTTGTCCGCGATGGACTCCTAAACTACTTAACAGATTTTAATCAATCAAATTTGCACTGTGTGCAGTTTGGTCCAACTTGAGAGATAGGATAGTTTTTTTGCCCATGAGTGACCCACGATTTATTTTTAGCGAATTTAAGGATTTTTAATAGTACAATACAAAGGGTCGTCGTAATACGTATAAATATAAAAATCAATTGCTGTCTTTTAGTCTCGCTAAAACTCAAAAAGGACTGGACTGATTTGGATCATTTTTTGTGTGTTAAGTGGGTTTCGGATAGTTTGGATTCACAATAGGTGGTCCTGCTGTCGAGATCCAGATATCAACCATGTGAAGCCGGAGCGGATCGCGAAGTATATGAAATTTAAGGTGTATATATATATATATATATATATATAAGAATCATGTGTGAATTATTTTCGCTAGCTTCTTAAGTAACTAGCTAAATCGTTAGCTAGCTTACTTTGCTTTTAATTATGAATATAATGGCCAAAACGAATTTACAAAAAACAGGAGCCTGTTAATTGTTTCATTTTTATGTGTATATTTTGCCGCGTCGAAATCTGATAATCTAGTTTTTGTTTGCAATTGAACTTAATTAAAGCTTAACCAATAAGCTTCGGTGGATATTGAAATATTTGTTAATTAATAAGCATCGCAATGATGATACACAACCAATTAGGTAGATCGTTAAGCAATAAGAGATCGATAGATAGAACATCCCTTATTGTACTCAAAATATATTGATAACAAAGGCACACATAATACCGAAACGACATGCTGATTCAGCTAACTAAAAGAGGAGCAACAAAAACCATTAACAAATAAATACTTCTACCTATTTTAAATTATATAGTTACTAATTACTATACACAAATAACCCAATAACCCTTTAGGGTTAATTTAACTTTAGTCAAACAACTTTTTTGACTCAGAAACTGCACTCTAACAAATTATTTGGTATAAAATCTAAATTATATTATCTTATATATAAACAATGTTATTTTGAAAATTATCGATAAAGATTGTAAAATAATTGATGTATAAATTATAATACTATTTTTTACAACATTTAAGTACCCTATTGTCGATTTTAAGGCAAAAAACATAAAGT